AATAAGAATAAATATCCGAATGCATAAATAACAAAAGAAATAAATAGTGTCAAAATATAATAAATATAATCTCCGTTCTAATAAAACAGAAATATTATATACTTTAGCCAACTCGATAAAAAAAGAAAAACAACTGGCAACCAAAAATGTGTGAAACGGTAAAAAAAAAGAAAAAATTAAATCCGATACTTAAAATAAAAGAAATAGACAAAAAAAAAAAAATATGATCATCGTCGAATATCTTTTTTAATAAAATAAAAATGTCTATAAAAACCCCGGTGTACCTCCACTACCAATTTCATCGAAAAAGAACAAAAAAAAAAAAAATCCTATCCCTTAAGCCCCGTGCAAAAAATAATCCAATGTTGATAAAAATATTACGATCATATCGATTTCTCTTGCATCAGAGAAAACAAAAAAATGATTTCATTGCTTGGACGGTAACGAGATATTAATGAAATAATGAAGCTTGATTATATTTTTTTACTTTCGATTATTTCCATTGGAAAATTAAAATCGAAAAATCAATCCTTCCTTCCTTCCTTGTTTTATTTTTTTTTTTTTAAATATTATATCATAGCAAATGTAAATTGAGAATAGAAGACAAAATTTGTTATTCGATGTATAAAATATTACTCAAATGTTTTACAATTATGGTAAATGGTGTTTGTATTTTTTCTTTAACGATGTTACTTGCTGTTGTTGTTGTTGTTGTTGTTGTTGTTTTACGAGGATCCTTTTTCTTCTTTTTCTTCATCTTGATCTTATTCTTCATTCGTTAGTTCGCATTATCGAGGATTGAATACGTTGATTGGTATGTTAAAATTTCGATCGACGTGGGCGATCAGCATCTTTTAATTAAAAGATGCTAGACTGCCGTGGGGGCTCTTGATTGTCAATGCCATTTTGCCTTTTGGGCGAATATATCCGCTCGTAGATTTTGTGCGAAGCAAATTCCCAAAATCTGTAATAAAAAAAGAAAAAAAACAGAGAAATTAAAATAAAATCAAATCAAATCAAATCAAAGGAACGAAATGTTTCGTAATTCAATGAAATCAATTCTGAAACACGAATGTTATTAAATAATTATATTATTTCTTTTTTTATACCTTTTTTTTTTTATTCAAATGAAATTATATCGAAGATCAAGTGTATTTTTTTAAATTCTTTTTTTAAAAAAAAAAAACAGAACAAAAGCCATGCTCGCAAAAAAAGCTGTAAACCTATTAATATTATCAGTAAATTACGTGCTAGATAAAAAAAAAAACAATGTATGCATTATGTGTACGCGATTTAATCTACTTGCCTATTATAATATTTCATGCTCTCGCAATACTTACAATCAATTGTGTGAAAAGCATAGAAAAATTGTGTATATGTTATAATATATATATAAGTATACCTACTTAACACGCGAACGATATTTTCATAATTACAATTAGCAATAATCAAAAGTATATTTTATAATTGTGTAATTAAAAAAGAATATTATATTAAAATAAGATTGCTTTTTTTTTTTTGAACACACACGTGTGTAATATACTGTGATTATATTTAATCGAGTAATGAAACCTCACCTTCTAGATTTATTCGAGGATAGATTTGATTTCACATAATCTGCATGCACATAGATATAGGATTAACAATCAAAAATAAAAGATATAAACAATATATATATATATAAAAATAGAAAGTAGTAAATTCCCCATTACCACTTTGAGTTGTGAATACTTTTAATTGAAGTGTTTTCTACGAACGAAATAGTTTATTATTAATTAATATATAAGTCTCAAAGGGAATTATAGACGGATAATAAATCTTACGAACAACTTATTTTGAACTTAGTTGTACGTTTCGTCCCTTAATGGGGACTTCATCAGCAACTTGATCAATTACAGTTCACGTGTCCATACATATTATCTTTTTTACAGAGTCATACATTTCAATAAAATTTAACATATTACAATACAATTTGATCCTAAAATACCTTATCTTATCACACGTATTTACCGAGTAAATATTTTCTATACTTTCTGCAAATGGATTTTATTGATTTTTATATTAAATTAAAGTGCACTCTTTTGTCTAC